TACTGGGCAAATGGTGTGCTGAGGAGAGGCCACCATGCCCATGGGAAGGGCCAGGAAAGACTTAGGAGAGCAGATGGCTGATGAGTTTGATTATTAAGGAAGGAGTATTGGTAGTTTTGGACTCCTAGGAATTGTTACAGAGAGCATCTCAGGAAAAAACACAGGAGCTGGGAACTGCCTTAATGGGCCAAGAACTGAACTTTGGTGAAAAGAGTTAGAAATGGATATAGGAAGGAAAAATCAGCTGGGCTTGCCCTTGGGGACTTGAATGTTGAGGTTGTTATGTGTGTCTTTCTTTGATTTAGATATGGGGGTAGGATTCTGGGATGGTACCTGGATAGGGTGAATTCCCAAGCAACTTCTATTCCCATATTACCTCTTATTACCTATTACTTATTACTTATTACCCATATTACCTATTGCAGAGAGTCAGTATAGACTTGAGGGCTGTGGTTTGAGTGGAAGAGGGTGATGTTCTAAGGCAGTCTGCTATGCTCATTGGCCCCAGGGAGGGAGGATAGAGATGGAGATATTGCTGCCATGGAAGTCTCAGGTCTGTGGAGCCAGGAGGTATCACACCCATGAATCTTGTCAGATATGTGCATTTGACAAGGGTTTCAGGGCTGGAGTGTTTGTCATTGTTCTGAATTTAAATGAAGTGAACCCAGGTGTCCAGGGACTCAGACCATAGGCTCCTGATGAGCAGAATTCTGGAGATGTGAGAGAGCAAGTCTATGTGTTGAGAATAAAAAGGACATTATATGATTGACTTTCAGCCCACTTTCCATAAAAGCCATAGGGTGTTTAGTAGAGAATGGTCATATATGGGTTATAGAAGAATCCTGCTGAAGTCTAGAGTGGAGTGTGTGCCACGGAGACCATAGTTGGTCTGGAAATCTGAAAGTAGATTCCTTCCAGAAATGGGACCAGAGACAATGAGTCCTAAATCCTAAAACTGCAATGTGTCTATGGGAAGGAGGAGCTGAGATCAAGAAGGCTTAGAGGAGAAGGGCTTAGGTCTGGGGGCAAGACCCACATGCAGTAAAGCACAAGAGGACTAGAGGTGCCCCAGGTGTGGTTGTATGGTGATATACCATAGGGCAGGAGCAGGGGTAACAGATCTAAAAGGTCAGAGGAGACAGAAATTAGGATCTGGGTCTCAGGAGAGAAGTGGAGATGAAGACACTGATTTGAGAACCACTGACCTATGGATGATAGAGTATGGGGAATTGTGAGGTTTTTGAGGGCTTAGAAGAAAGGTTTTGTTTTTGAGGCCTTAGAAGAAAGGTTTTTTTTTTTTTTTTTTTTTACTGGGGGAGCTGTTTCATGATTAGGGATTTGTTTTTCTTCCCTGTGTATTGAGCAGACTGGACGTTAATGAGACCAACTTCTGGCATGACAGTGTGAGGAGTTTTTCATACCTACTCCCCAGATAAACTGCTGAAACTTAAAATAAAAAGAAAAGAAACAACACTTAAGAACAGTAGGTAAATACAAACTAAAGGAAGAGACTTTAGTCAACTCATATGAAGAAATCCAGTCTTTGTAAAAATAACTTCAAAAAGTTGCTAAACCATTGGATTACTACAAACAAACAAACAAAAAAAACAAACTCACTGCTTTTGAGTCGGATTCAATTCATAGCGACCCCTCCTTGGATTTCTGAGGTGGTTATCACCACGGAAGTAGATTGCTCAACCTTCCTTCCGAGGAGTGGCTCATAGGTTTGAACTGCAGCCTTCTGGTTAGCAGTCAAATGCCTTAGGCACTATGCCACCAGAGCTTCTTTGGACTACTACAATAAAAGCCTTATACAATAAAAGGAATGATAGAAAAAATGAAGGGAGACCCCTAGTAAACTCAGAGGAAGTTGGAGAATCTGATGTTCAGAGTTACCACATGATAGTATTCAATTGTTACCACATGATAGTGTTCAAATTTTCAACAAAAAATCACAAGGCATACAGGGAAACAGGAAGATGGTCCATTCCAAGGAACAAAGTAATATGACAGAAATCAACTCTGAGGGAACAAAACACTATATTTCTTAGATAAAACCTTTAAAAATGATCAAAGAGCTAAAGGAACTTACGGACAAAGAAGTATAGGAAATCAAGTCAAATATATATGGTAAACTCTAGAGCAACCACTAAAAATAAAGCTAAAAAATTATAGTGAAAAAAATCATTAATGAAATTAAGGTAGTATGCTAGAAAATATTCACTCAATTCAATAGAAAGAGTAAATGAGGACTAGAGGACAAAAACTACATGAGATATACAGAAAATGACAAGTAAAATGGCAGATGTAAATCCAACTATTGTTGTTGTTGTTATGTGCCATCGAGTCGGCCCCGACTCATAGCGACCCCTTCTTGGGTTTCCGAGGCAGTATCACTATGGAAGTAGGATTGCCCAACCTTCCTTCCGAGGAGTGGCTGGTGGGCTTGAACCTCCAGCCTTCTGGTTAGCAGTCAAGTGCTTTAGCCACTATATGTGAATGGATTAAACAACCCAATCAAAAGGCACAAGCTGTCAGACTGAATTTTTTAAAAATGGTACAACTATTTATTGTTTGCAGAAGACAAATTCAAAGACACAAATAGATTGAAAGTAAAGAGATGGGAAAACATACATCATGCAAACAGCACCCACAGGAAAGCTGGAATGTCTATATTCATATCAGAAAAAAAATAGACTTTGAAAATAATACTAGAGATATAGAGGGACATTTTATAATGATGAAAATCCAACAGGAAGATATAACAAGTATAAGCATATACACACCAAATAACAGCAATGAAATACATGAAGCAAAAACTGACAAAATTAAAGGAAGAAATAGACAATTTAACAATCATAGTTATTGTTGTTGTTGTTATGTGCCATCGAGTCAGACCTGACTCATAGTGACTCCTCCTTGGGTTTCCGAGGCAGTATCACTATGGAAGTAGATTGCCCAACCTTCTTTCTGAGGAGTGGCTGGTGGGTTTGAACGACCAGCCTTCTGGTTAGCAGTCAAGTGCCTTAGGCAGTATGCCATCAGAGCTCCTAACAATAATAGTAGGACACTTCAATAATGGATTGAATAATGAGACTGAAGAGAAATAAGGAAATGTTAGACTTGTACAGCACTACAACAGTAACAGTTCCTGGAGTTCCTGGAGGTAACTAAGGAGCCACTTTTGCTTTTGAGTTGATCTGGCAGTAAATGTTTGTGTCATGGTTTAGTAATTCCTGTAAAAGAAAAAAATGAGAAGAAGAGGAAGAGGAGAAGAAGAAGTCTTTGACCCCCTTGTATCTTTCTCAGAATGGCTTTCAGTTTTTCCTAGGCTCTGGGTCCCACCCACAGCTGCTTTTTGCTGGGCTGTGCTCAGGGAGGTCCCTGCCTCCCAGGCCCCCCTTCTCACTACACCTGTTCCCCTCTTCACTGCTGTTCTCTGAATTTCAGAGCACAGCCAGATGTGAGGTAGGATAGGTCTTGAGGGCCCCTTGGGCCTGAGGGCCCAGAACATTCATGGCCCACACTCACCTCATAGATGGGAACAGCTGCCTGGTTTCCATACAGGGGAGCCTGGGAGAGAGAGAGAGAGGGAGAGGCAGAGACAGAGAGAGAGACAGAGAGACAGACAGAGAAAGAGAGAGAGAGAGGGAGGGAGAGGGAGAGGGAGAGAAGATATCAGGGAAGGGCAGGGAAGGGGTCATTAGGGAAGAGGTCTAAGTGAGCAGGTGTCAGGGACCAAGTTTTGATGGTTCTTGTCCATACAGCCTAGAGCTCATCCATGTGGCTCTGCTTTAGGTAATTTCTCATCAGGAATGACCACGTCTGCCCATCAGTCCCCCGCCTGTCTGTAAAAGAACACCCTACCCATTCATGCTGCATCTCCACCCTTGTTAACTGTGGGCCCCTGACTTGTGCTCCCAAGGGTCACTCTGAGCTCTTTGATGGACTCCAAGATCCTCTCTCAGGCCAACTGAGTGGACACAGGGTGGACTCAGGACTTGACTGAGGTGGTCCCTGGCCCTGAAGAGAAGCCTGGGTCGTAGCCAGGGTGGGCCTAACCCTCTCATAGCTACTCTAAGAAGAGCAAGGGTCTGTGCTGTGCTGTGAGATTGGCCAGTCCCCTGCCTTGAGGCTGCCTTGTTAGAACTCCCTGGTGAAGTGGCACTGAGGGGATGGGCTTACCGGGGAGGTAGAACTCTTGGAGTTACATTGACCTGGAGAGTAGAGACAGGAGTTAGCACCTGGTGTCTTGAAGATTGCTTGAGGGCCCTCCTCCCAGGCTATCCTTAGCTCTCAGAAACCCAGGGGAGAGAGAACATATCCAGGGGAGAGTCCTTCCAGCGTTTTGGGACCAAGGGAGGAAGTTGGGCTGAGGAGGTGACCCTAGCCCCAGACCCCACAGGTCAGAGCTGACACAGCCACTCTGGGGTCCTCTGCTCTGAGGGGCCTGCGCCGGTGAGATCCATCCCTGAAGCTCCAGGCAAGGGTCAGAGGCAGGAATGGACGGTGTGGGGAGGCCTCAGTGCACCCAGCTCTCTCATTTGATTGTACACTCACTGGAGGTGGATGCTGGCGGCCGCTGATGTCCAAGATCACCCTGGCTACAGGCCCTAGAAAAGGTCAGGTTATTTGTGAGAGTACAAGGAAATGTCGCAAGGTTTGGGGTCAGAACAGAGTCCAAGGAATGGACCTCTTTTTAAGCAGGGGTGGAGACCTCATCTTTCCATCACTGTGGTGAGAGGGGATGGCCTAGAGAGGGAAACTGAGGAGAAGCCTTAAGAAACTGTCTGCTCTGAACACAAAAAAGGACCCTCAGACAGATACTGGCCCAGAAGAAAGCTGACCCAGAAGGGACCCAGAATCAGGAAGGAATCAAACCACAAGGGTTTGACTGGGTAGCAGGTCATGGCCTCAGAAGGACAGCTAGGCCAGCATGGTGTCAGGACACCTGAGCCTCAAGGTGTCCTGGATTCTCCTTGAAGGTGGTGCTCCTACTGACGGAGACCCTCCGCCTGCTCAGGCCAGGAGATGCCGGCATGTGATGGTCATCTGCTCTTCCTGGGGAAGAGCTGCAGGACGTTCCACACGCTGTTCAATCAGGCACAGGTTCCCATCTCACATGTGACGGCTGCAGTCAGCACATCCACGGTCGCTGACTCCACCAGGCCTGGTCCAGGCTCTTCCACTCTCTTTTGTGTGATGTTGGCCAGGATGACTCCTCAGGTCCCGAGTCTGTAAATTTTCCCTCAACAGAAGGGAATGTTCACTGAGCACTCACTACCTCCCAGGCACCACTATCAGTTTGTTGTGTGACTGAACTAGGAGCACACTGAGGGGTGGGACCATGACTGTCCCTAATCTAGAGATGAAGGGACTGTGAAAACCCAGACTGAGGTTAGCATAGGTGAGGGAGGAGCCCAAGTGAAAGCAGAAGGGAGGGTCTCTTGGGGAACTGGGGGCTGTGAAGAGACAGGCCCAAGATCCGAGGATGGGGTCACGCTCCTCCTGGCCTTAGTCAGCCTGAGGGATAGGAGATGGGGATAGAGGATGTGTGGTCCTACCCTCCAGTCCTGGTGAAGAACAGGAAACAGCCCAGGGCAGCTGCCACAGCCACCCCAACGAGGACCCCTGTCACAATGCCAGCAATGGCCCCAGAAGAGAGGCCCAGGGCTTGTTCTTGTGCTGGAATGAGAAGGTAAAGGGGATGAAGACCCAAAGGTATTGCAGAATAGACCATGAGGGGTGCTGCAGGAAAAGGACCTGGCTGGGCAAGAGGAAATGCCACCCGAGGTCTGTGGGTAGCTTGTGTGTGTCAAAATCATAACATCCTCCCAACACCCCCTCCGTCTTAGTTGCTCCATTTTCTGTTTCGTAGGTGTGAAACCTTGGACTTGCTCTAACTCTGTTCATTCTCCACATTTACCCAGTGCCACGTCCTGTCCATGTTCCTTTAAGGCCTCATTCCCTCTCATAGGAGCTCTGGTGGTATAGTGCCTAAGGCACTTGACTGCTAACCAGAAGGCTGGTGGTTCAAACCCACTAGCCACTCCTCGGAAGGAAGGTTGGGCAATCTACTTCCGTAGTGATACTGCCTGGGAAACCCAAGAGGGGTCACTATGAGCCGGGTCCCAATCGACGGCACATAACAACAACAACAACAACAACGTGCCAGTCAGCTGTGGAAAATTCTTCATGTACATCTCATCTGATCCTTCTGTGTCCCTTGAGGGAGGGAGATGTCCTTCCCATTGAAGGTCACAGATCTGCTTGGCTTTACCGATAATAACTGAAACTCGCTGCCATCGAGTTGGATGCGACTCATAGAGACCCCTCCTTGGGTTTCTGAGGCAATCTCACTACAAAAGTAGATTGCCCCATCTTCCTTCCAAGGAGTGACTGGTGGATTTGAACCACCAGCCTTCTGGTTAGCAATCAAATGCCTTAGGCACTATGACTGCTAATAACAACTCATTAATAAAAATAATAATGACAGCTGCTAACATAGATTGGACCCTGACTCTGTGTGTGACCCTGGAGTAGTGGCTTTAATCTCATTAACTTCATAGTAAACATCCTTACAATAACCCTAAGATCCAGGAGTTACAGTTTTACAGATGAGGATACTGAGGTTCAGGGAGATTGAGTCTCTTGTCCAAAGTCTGGTAAATGTCAGAACCAGGAGAGTAACTACATTAATCTGATTGCTTGGTTCTTAACCATATTGCTCTACAGGCTGTGAAGGACATACCTACAGGCTGTGAAGGATATACCTACCTTGGTGTCACATCCACTTACAACCATTTTACACTGGAGATAAAGTCAGTGCTCTGATGAACTGAGTGAAATCTACAGAAGAGGGAAGGGCCAAGGACACTTACTGTTCACGCTCAGGGTGATGGGGTCGCTTCTGCAGACACTGACTAAGTTGGAGGCTTCACACTGATAGGACCCTGCATCCTCCCTCCTTACGCCACTGATGATGAGGATCCTATTGTCTTGGAACAACTTCATTCTCTCAGAGAGCTGCAGTCTCTGGCCATTGAAGTACCACTGAATAGGGGCCCTTCTGTCACTCCCATAGCAAGTAAATGTCACAGTGTCCTCGTGTTCTCTGACCACGGTGCTGTTGGCTGCGATGCTGGGTTTGGCCACTGTCCCTGCAGAGAATCAGAGGATGTGATGCCCTGATAAAAAGCCTGGTACTTGGTGCAGCCATCTTGTTCCCATATTAGGGCTGCCCATGGGATCCTAGCTGCTGGGAGAGTCCAGGAGGGGAGGATTTTGGGGAGTCCTTAAGTGAAGGGGTTGATCTTCTCAGAGGGTGATCTGTCTCTACTCCAGATCACTGCAGTGAAGGGGTGGGGGCAGTGATCCCTAGACCTGGGGACAGGTCAGTGACTTGACTGACCTTCTCTGAAGTCTCCCTTAGATGAACCACCACAACCTCTCTCCCAAGTGTCCACATCTGATCACCTCTCTGCCCTATGGTTTTCATCTCCCTATAGATATGTATGATGTTGACACTTATCACTCTATGATCAGCCTCCATCCCTAAAACACCCACGTCATATGACAAGAGCTGTCTCTGTGTGGGACTTGGTCAGGGAGAACCTGCTTCTGGTCAAGGAAGTGGTTCCTGCTCTTTCTTAAATGATTTATTAGGGATTGTGCACCTCCTAGTCAAGGATTCCCTGTCCTATAATTTGGAGTCATTCTTTGTTGAAATGTTGGATGTATCAAAAGCAATGATTGTGGGATAGGGTTTCTGGATTTGAAAAAGATCACAGGAGGGCTCCCTCAGGAGATGTTATGACTTTGTCCAACAGGCACTACCTTAGCCTTCTCTGTCTGAGAAACCTGACTTTTCCCACCAGAGTGACTTCTGATGGAGAAGCTAAAATGGGGGAACCTGCCTCATCACTTCACAGCAGGGAGTACCCTGAGCTAGAAGGGTATCAGAAGCCTGTACCCTTCATGGAGTGATGGCCCCACGGCCCCTCCATTACTGGTGTCTTGAGTCCTGCTCTGTCCTTTCTCTGTGGGGACATTGTGCCTACCTCCACCTCCAGGGTCCCTAACTTCACCCTCCCATCATCCCCCTTCTCTTTCCAATGCACCTTGATGGGACATGGCCTTGCTCCTTGCCTGGCCTGGAGGAAGGGAAGGTCATTTGCTGCCTGCTGTCCCGTAGCACTGAGGGAAGGACTGAAGGTGGAGCCGGGATGCCTGACTCTTCCCTTCTGTTTCTCCCCCTGTTGAGGCTGCTGTCTCTTCTCCTCGTGGATGCAAGAGGGTCTAGTCCAGTGTTTGAGCCTCGAGTGCTCACCTGTAGCACGTGGGCCAAGCAAGGAAGCATAGGACTAGAGGAACGGCAGATAGTTCAGGGGCAGAAAGATGGATCATGGCTTTGAAGACAGCCTCAACACCCAAAGTATTTAGAGCTGAGAACATCACTGTGACCCAGTAAGAAAATGAGACATTTTTTCCTGTGGGTCTCCCTAGGACCTCCCAGTGAGTGTCTGCCTGAAACCCTTCATCCTTCTAGCTTGTTCCAGGTGCTCCCAGGTGGGGGACAGTGGAGATGGGATCAGTCCATCCCTTTTCTCTGCAGAGTCTGTAGCTAGAAAAGGGAATTCCCTCGTCTTGAGGTTTGTCTCCACTGTTTTGTTCTGAGCTTAATGCCCAAACCCTGGTCCTGGGATGTGATAGAGAGAGGGACATGGGAACATCCTGAGGTGACAAGGGACTGACAGTCTTTGAGCTTGAAGTAGAACTGTCTAAGCCTGACCCAGCAAGGTGTCAGAGGGGAATCACTTACGGTAGACACGAAATTGCCCAGACGCTCGCTCACTCTGAAGATTTTTCTGTAGGACTCGTAGGGTGTAAGTTCCTGAGTCCTCCTCGGTGACGTTCTGGAAGAGCAGGGTCCCATTGGGGTATATTGTCTCTCGACCGCTATGGGCCACCCCTGGGTGAGTTGTTTGACTTTGTATTACATATGCTAGAATTTGGTGGTTGAGCTTTATCTGTTCCCCTTTGTACCAGCTGTATCCATAGGGATTCTCTGGCAGATAGTGGACGAGCAGAAGGACGCTTTTCCCTTTGGCAGCATTGACCGGCATGGATTCAATAGTAAGTTGGGCAGCAAGGGGCAAGTTCCAGAAGGTTAAAAGTGAGACTGGGGGGAAGACAGAGAAACCAATTAGTATTGGGATGTATATATATTGGGATGGAAAATGGGCCCCTGAGATTGAGCATCTCTTTGAGTCCTTGGACATGGGATGCGTGTCCTCCTGGCTCAAGGTCAGCATCATAAATATCATTACTAAGAGGTCACTGCATGTGTGATCTGGCTGCGCTGTCTCTTCCCTAGGTCACTGAAGTCATCTCCTCCCTTTCTGCCCTGTGATCACTCTGCTCTAGCTGCACTGACCTCCAGCTTTCCTCAAGCACATGGGACACACTCCATCTCAGGGCCTTTGCACTTGCTGTTCGCTCTGCCTGAAACCCTGTCCCCCCGCATATCCTTGTGGTTCATTCTTTCACTGTGTTCAGGTCTTTGCTCTGTGCTACCTTCCAGCAGACGTCTTCTCCTATCTCCAAATCTGAAGTGCAATCTCTCTCCACTCCCTTACCTTACTCGACTGTATTCCATGGCATGTATGAGTCCTTGCCAAGGAGCTCTGCTGGTGTAGTCGTTAAGGCATTTGGTTACTAACCAAAAGGTCAGTGGTTCAAACCCATCAGCCACTCCATGGAAGAAAGATGAGGCAGTCTGCTTCCATAAAGATTTACAGCCTTGGAAATGGGTGGACCCCTCCCCAGTGGGGGTCAACTATGAGTTGGAATCTACTCAATGGGAGTGAGTTTATTTTTGTTTTCGTTTTGGTATGAGTGCTTGCCACTGCCCTGTAGATCTTTTTATTGATTGCTTTTCTCCCCACCAGAACATGAGCTCCACGAGGGCAGGGACTTGTCCTGGTCACTGTTACAGCTGGGCACCTAGAACAGGCCAGGCATCTGTTGGACTTTGGTTATTTGGTTGAGTAAAATAACCAGCTATTGAAGGACTAAAAGTCAGCATGAGACTACATTCTCATGAAATACATTCCTGTCCCCCAGGTCCCTCCAAATCCAAAACCTATTTCTGATGACTATAAATGGAGTCCCTGATTAAGTTGTTTCTTGAGGTTTATTTTTACATAAATTGCAATTTTTGTCATCAGTTTCCACATCTTAATATCTGATCTGTTGAAGTGTTAAAGTGATCAAAAACGAAAAGAAGACAAAAAAAAAAAAAAAAAACCAAGAAACCCAAACCCATTCCTATTGAGTAGATTCTGACTCCTGACGCCTCACTTCTGTGACCTGTCCCCACAAACTCAAATGTAAGCTCTCTGTCCCCTCTCACAACTTCCTCTGGAGACACCAGCCAGAATACACTCTTGTCTCTGCTCCCTCCCAGGGGAGCATCCCCTCTCACCTGTGAGCAGGGGCCCTGGCCAGGGGACACCCCCTTTGTGAGGAGGAGCTGAGGGACGCACCATGGCTCTCTGCTTGATTCGGATCAGCTCGCGGGGAGCTCCCGAAGCTTTGTGCACATCTCGTGGGCGGCTGTGGTTGGGGCAGCCCCGTCTGCATCTCCTTCCAGCCTGGAGCCCAGTCCCAGGCTTGCTGGATTGTGTGGGTATGTGAGGGGTCTCTGCCAAGTCGCCTCTCTCTTTCATCCCTTCTCATTCCTTCTTCTGTACCCTCTACCTTCCCGGCCTCCCCTTCACTATGAATTTCATTTCCTGGTAAATGCAGAGACTTCTGCTTTCCTTGGTCTTTTTTTTTCTTCTACTTTTATTGTGGTGAAAACATACACAAGACATTTGTCAACATAAAACTTCCCCATTTATAGCTCAGGGACATTGATGACATTTTTCAGGTTGTGCCACCATTATTCCTATCCTTTTCCAAAACATTCCACCATCGTCAGCGTAAACTTAGTGCCCCACAAACAAAAGCTTCCCCTTTTCCCCCTCCCTCCTAACCCTGGTAACCACTAATAACTTTTGTTTTATATATCTATATCTATATCTATATCTATATCTATATCTATATCTCTCTATATATATGATTGATAAGTCTATTTATGCCATAAATTAGGGTCCCTAAATTAACCCCTATTTTTTCTTTAATGAACTTTATAGTTTTAGGCTACCCTCTCATGAAATAAATTCCTGTCCCCCAGGTCCTTCCAAATCTAGAACCTATTTCTGATGACTATAAATGGAGTCCCTGATTAAGTTGTTTCTTGAGCTTTACTTTTACACAAATTGCAATTTTTGTTACCAGTTTCCTCATCTTAATATCTGATTTGTTAAATTGTTAAGTGATCAAAACCAAAACAAAACCAAAATCCCCCAAACCTCTTGCTATGGAGTAGATTCTGACTCATAACGCCTCACTCCTGTGACCTCTCCCCATAAGCTCAAATGTAAGCTCTCTGTCCCCTCTCACAACATATATTGTTGTTGTTGTTATGTGCCATCGAGTCGGACCCAACTCATAGCCACCCCTCCTTGGGTTTCCGAGGCGTATCACTACAGAAGTAGATTGCCCCATCTTCCTTCCGAGGAATGGCTGGTGGGTTTGAACCTCCAGCCTTCTGGTTAACAGTCAAGTGCCTTAGATACTATGCTACCAGAGCTCCTCACAACATCTATATCTATATCTATATCTATGTATGTATGTATATATCTATGTATGTATGTATGTGTATATATATGTATATATGTATATATGTATGTATGTATGTATTTGATCCATCTGGAGTTAATTTTTGTATATGGTGTGAGGTATGGATCCTGTTTTGTTTTTCTGCAGATGGATATGCAGTCTTGCCAGCACCATTTGTGAAAGAGACTATCTCTTCGCCATTTAATGGATTTTGGCCCTTTGTCAAAGATCAGCTGACTATAGGTCGATGGATTGTGTTCTCAATTCTATTCCACTGATCTATGTTTCTTTTGTTGTTTCAATACTAGGCTGTTTTGACAACTGTGGCTGT